TCTCGACACCACCCACGCCTGAACAGGAGATAGGTGGAGCATTCAGCGTCGTCGACAGAATATCATCCCCTGCCGTCATTATCCCCTCTGCTTCCTCAGTATCACGGCTGTCATCGAGAGGAGCTTTGTTTACAACAAGCATGTCAGTGTCTCCAAGACTCTGAAAAAAATACATTTCTACAATGTTTAATACTTTAGTGATAACTGTAGATGGATTACAATAATAACACAGCGACCAACTCAAGATGTTAAAGGCAGGAATTTGCTGCAAACCAATGAGAAACTTTTGATCATAAATCGAGAAGTGGAATAAAGTTCACAGCAAACACAAGAACAAATCTCGACTTTGTGGTCGGCTACCAGATGATATCTCAGAATAAATAATTTGTCCCAACTTGGCTATGATCGGAAAACAAATATTACGAACATTTCATCGAAAATGTTAGTTTCGATCAACTTAGAGCAGCCAGGCACGACTGCACCAAAAGCTGGGGAATGAGCTATGTATGAATACGAACACGATTTTAAATACAATAAGTGGCGAGTTTCTTAGGGGTACTTTTGGCATGTTGCATTTGCATTCACTGTTTTAAAAAATGGTGATAAAAAATATCATGTGATGGATAAAATGTCTGAATTGTAAGTTAGGAATTCGAAATTCGTCTGAAAGTATTCCCGCTCACAGCGTTCAAATCAAGACATGCGTAACAATAAATGACTTTCAACAATCAAATTAAGCACTCATGGGCGTACCGAGAGCCTCAACCCACGACGTCGTTGTCTGTTGGCTGAAATAAAAGATGGATCGCTACCACTTCGCATATGTTTGTGCGGAGACCCGTTCATCATGCTCTTGGAAAGGTTCTGATCAGAATGGGACACATCCCGATTTTCTCCATCATTCATTTCAACTAACTCCGAATCGGTGGCTGGAGATACGTCAGAAGGAGCAATTGATGGAAAATCTGGTACAGAGTGTGAAGCATCAGCGCGAACTACCGTTAATTGCTCTAAAGACGCAGTTTGCCGAAGTAAAGAGGCTGCTGCTGCCTCTGATTTGCGCGTTGCTATAGTAGTCGTCGTCGGAAGATCCATGTGTTTATGGTTAACGTCGGAGAGGGATTGGGAACGCTGTCGAACATCGGCGAGGGTGGCGCTGGAACCATGTACCTCGGCGGTTTCGGAGAGAGTAGTGGGTGTGGGAACAGTAATAGAGGCGTTAGGAAGGCAGCTTAAAGGAAAGGTAGCATTTGTGGCACGACTCGATGTGGATATCTGAAGGGGAGCTGATATATCGCTGCCCCGGTGGGGAGGAGCAAGCAAAACTGGAGGTTGACTAAGGGCTCCAGACGCATTGGAGGGTAGCAGTGAGTTGACGTACAGAGTGTCCCAAAGTTCCAAATTGCTTATGTGGCAAGCCGGTTTTATCACCTAAAATAGCAATTAATAAGCAGAATTAATGCACGTCATCGATTCAACTCCACTATTCCAGTTGTGCTCATTTAGGCGACTCGAAATGAACTGTACAACGAACGGATGACACATCATTACCAAATCGTTCGCATGAATCAACAAGAATATACTAATTCCAAATAAGGAAAAAACAATGTACCTCATTTTTCTCTTCGTAGAGATAGTTAATGATAGACCAATTATAATTGGGATTTAAGTATGCCCAAATTGAGCAAGTTCTTGAAGCACATTGATTCTCCTGACGTTCAAGCTCCGAATTGCACAGAAAGGTCCCGAAAAGTCCCGAATAGGCATGAATAGCTAATTTAATCTGGAAATCAACACATCAATTAGTCTTACCTGTAAGACGCAGAATGGGCACAACAAACGCATGAATGGAATTTATAAAAATCCGGAACAAGATCTGATTATATCAAATTTACTTGCCTAAGAGCAAACCGATATGCATGCTATTTTGAATTACTTGTGATAGAGAAAAGGACAAAATTAGTACGCGAAAGCCTAGAATCGCATCAATTATGTTTCGACGTACCAGAAAGAGTTCATTAAACTCAAAACAGTGGGGAAACTGGCGCTGAATCTGGTGAACGCAGTCCAGCCACTGGATAAAAATAGGGCTCTGCTCTTCGCTGCCACACGAACTTAAGTTATGCCCACAGCGATCACCAAATTTGTGACCGAATTGCAGCCATTCTCGCTCAATGAGGACACGGAACCCCTAGACTCATCAAAACAACAAATAAGCAATGCCAACCTTTCTGAATTCTTGCACCTCATAAAATGTAATAGCACAATGTACGTCTGTTAACTTATTGGGTGGCTTGTAGTGTAAAAAATACGTGTAAGTAGCTTGCAAACTATATCGAGAAATTCATTAAAACACCACCAAGCACATGATTTTCATAGACCCATACAAATATTCTCCTAACTACTTCCTCAAGTGTTGACATAAAGAAGGTCCAACTTTAAACAGACACATTTCCTAACCTTTATCGTCCGATAGTACGGATCAAGGAGCAATTCGGCAAGCGACGTCAGTTGAGGCGTTCTATCCCATCCGTCCGTACAGTGCACCATCACAGGAAAGCCCTGAACATCGAGAGCAACTGCAATATCTACGGCAGATTTCAGCAACAGACTAATGTAGCTCAGCCACAGAGACCGTTCCAGAGTCGTCAACCAACTAGAACCGCAGCAATGCGGATTAAGACGGAGGAATGCCATAAGTTCAGTCAAAGGATAAACACCGCCCTAACGGCTTCCAGTCTTAGAACCGAAACAAAACAAGGCTACCAATAGGCATGATGAAGAGAGTTCTAGAATCTTGCACTAACCTAAACCAATGGTCGTGAACCCAGAATGCATTCGCGACTAGTTCAGGCATAAGTGAGTGATTTAAATAAAAATATAGAAAAGTCTGATAAGGAAATCTTGCCTTGAATCAGGTTTTTTGAATAAAAGCAGCAAGCGCTCAAAACTCATGCGAACATAGTGCAGATTTGGTAGCTCCATAAAGCGTATTTCCGATTGACCATAGTAGTCCACGTACTCAAAGCCGCCACCTCGGAGTCTATTAAATTGAGCAGAGCTGTAACATCTGGCATCAAATATGAGAAGCTTTTGGGAGTCTAAAATAGGAAGCACAGAATTAAACAATAGTCAATGAAAAAGGAGCAAAAACAATTGTGCATACCTTCCTGCCTCTGGTTTACCAGAGGATCTCTTCTAAAGTTCTCAAAAACTGCGGCAACAAATTTCTCGTCGAACTCACTCCTTGAACACATAATTCCAACCCGAGGTTGAGCACATCGAAGAAGTACAGCACCGGTCTTTTGCGATCGCCACACAACAGAGGGGAACCTGTGGTGACTTCTGAAAGTAGCTATGTTGGGTATCTCTTGATCGGATACATCTCGAGGCACTATGTGATACTTGGGATAGCTCTTGCATACCCTAATAGGCGTATGTGAAAGTCAAAGCGAACTCAACTGAAAATCACTGTTTACATCTGTTATCTTCCAGTTGCTGCTAAACTTCAACCTATTAAACTCTTTGAGAATCATTTCTGCCTCTAAAGTAGTGTCATTTGCTTTACAGTAAGGAATGTTAGCTGACGTACCACCAAGACCGAAGGTTTCTTTCGCAGAAAAAAGCAGAGGATGACTGGGAACGCGTTTTTTGAGCTCTTCTCGAAATTGAAGAGCAAACATGTGTGAAAATTTCCTCGAAGAACCGGTTAAAACACTCATTTCCTTGACCCAGGCATCGCAAGCATTAAAACTCTTGAAATGACACCTGAAACATAGTCCCCTAAGAAAATTCACGTTACGTAAAGGTCGTGCCGATCTTCGTCACAATTTCCATGTCAACCAGGGATGAAGATTCACAAAGCCGTACCAACATAGTGGGTATGCTGATCACGTTACTCTGGTGCCGATAGTACAGAATTATCCTGAAATTAGTAAGACAGATGCCTCCACTGGTGGTTTTATCCAAAAACAATATTTCCTCAGAAGGAAGAAAATGAACACGTTGAATCCACGATAGCTTCCTATGTTTCGAAAAGTTTGTCAAACATAGACCATCACTCTCCATCTTGAGTTAGGAAGGCCAGGTGTACAAGAAGAGTAAAACCTTTAAGTGGCGAAAGCACCACCACTCTGCATGAAATTAGATCACCCGCGTAATAATGATGAACGTGTAAAAAATCGCCTGATTATAATGTATTATAAGATCAAAATCTTGGTGCCGACATTTGGGTAGCTCAAGTTACGCAAATTAATTACAAAACAAAGGACGAAAGTTTTCTTCGAAATTACTAAAATTGTTGCCCTTTACACAAATCTGATACCGAGTAAGTTATATTTTATTGTAGTCAAATCGTCGGAAAGTTTTTAACAAAATATTTTATTTCCTTTTTAGAATATGTAAAGTTCTCATGCGAAGATCAAAGTCTCAATCAAAGTGTCTAAAACCGCAATAATGAGATGTCGCATTGGTATTCATCTTGTTCTAAGCTGCGTAAGCTGGCATTCGGGAGAATCG